GCTTTCACCACACGCCAGCTTATAAAACCCCTCATTGGTAGACCTGTACAGGGATCCCAGAGCTCTTTTAATATTATCAATGTCCTTCTTCGTTTAATGTGTTGCTTTGTTCAAGAAGAATGTTGTATCTTCCTTGTCCTTTTCATTTTTCCTTCTGTGAATATTTCATTAATTAATAGAGAAAATCCAAACAGCTGAAGCTTAGAATGATCCATTAATGGTAGAACAGGTGGTTAATATCTACATTTTACTTTTACTTATGCAGAGATACTGCTCGGCAATAATACTGGACAAGTATTAGCTATATATTTTATGCATCACATAGAAATAAAAGAACTAAACACCAGCGTATTATGCAGTGAACCTTTGGAAGTGTTGATTCAAACTTTTTCATCAGCTCTTCAACATGGGTTGACTGTTCTCCCTGGAAAAAAAAAAAAAAAAAGCCATTGATTTGAGCTTACTGGAAGATAACATACTCGTTTGGAAGTAATAATAGATCACACCAGGATCATGCACCAGCAATACATTACTTTTATACTTCATAGCAAGTATAATAAAAAGATCGATTTTCAAGCCCCATTATTGTTCAGGTTCAAGCACCACCAATGCATTACTTTTATACTTCACAGCAAGTATAACAGAAAGATCAATTCTCAAGCCCCATTATTCTTCAGGTTCATGCACCAGCAATGCATTACTTTTATACTTCACAGCAAGTATAATAAAATGATCGATTTTCAAGCCCCACTATTCTTCTCTCTGAGGAATATGTTGCTTAGAATCCGTATAGTGCATATTAAGTAAATTTTTTGCCCAAAAAAAAAAAAATCAACATTAACTTTAAAGTTCAAGCAGCGGATTATCTAAGACCCACTATAATATGTAGACACATACTGCAGAAGCTTTCTGGAAGAAATAAGGAGTCTTTTTCTGTATATATAATAAAAAAGAAAAAGAAAAGAAAGAAAGAATACCTCAGACTGATTCGGCATATTCTTAATATTGGATCTATCATATCCTCCAAGTCCATCACGATTCTGGGAAGGAAAAAAAAATCGAAAGAATGTAGAAAAGAGGACAAGGCGGAACACCAGCGGTATTAACAGATAAGCACACGGAACGGAAAATTTAAAGAGATTCAGAGATATGCTTGAATGCTTACTGAAGGAGAACTTTGTCGTTCATATATATATCCTGCACAGTGGAAATATAATTTTGAGTGGAGAAATTTTAACTAAAATAAGGCGGCATCATTGACGCTAATATCGCATCATTTGCCAGGAAAAACATGGGATAAAAATTTCAGAGTGATGGAAGTTGATTTCTGATACAAGTACAGAAACATACGAGTCGATCTGAGTTATATTGCCTTCCTAACAAAGCATGGTATTGGTAAATAGAAAGAAACAAGCGCACATTGCTTCAACGAGTTTTTTGTATTATTTCTGTCTTAAAGCTTGGCGGGAAGTTACGTCCGATCCAGATCAGAGATCACATCCACGACTTCTTAATTATGATTTCATATCAATTGAAACGTCGGGAAAAGATTGCACGCAATACAGAAGAGCATTGCAAATCAAAAGAAAACATCCCCTCCTTAGGTAAAACAACATAATGAAACCCAGAGACATTAATGAACAACAACGAGAAACAGATCTAAAAAATTTCAAAAGCTACGCGAAAGCAACTAAAGGGAGTTTATCGGCATAGTACCAGCAGAGTGAAAGCCGTTGTGTAGACCAAGCAAAAAGACGAGAGGAACAAGCATGGAAAGGATAACAAGGCCCAGTACCCCAATTACCAGTCCTTTCCATCGTCTTTTAGAAGGGAATGCATATGAAGGAACCCCGCCCAGACCACCACTACCAGCCCCAGAAGCGCCCTTCATCTTCCTTTCTGGCTCTCTCCCGGCTTCGCCGAGCCTTGCTTTTGCCTTGGGTACTTTTCTAATAACTTCTGTATGCCGGATTTTTCCGCATAAGTTTTTTTTTCCTTTTTGATTTGGTTTATTACGACGACTACTTTTTTACCCCTCATCCGGTCTGTCAATCGAACATGCTACAAAGTTTCTGAGCAGATTCAAGCCGAAACAAAATTCATTTTTTGTGCGGATCACTTCAAAACTTTACGGCGCATCCCAACGGAGGATTACAGGTCAGATTTACCGCTATGCATTATCCCCAGGCATAAATAATGTGTAGAATTTATTGATTGAATAAAATATAGTAGATTAGTCAGAGGTATTTTCTCATTTTCTAGAATTATATATTATGTAGGGTATAATTATGTAAATTTTTTTATTTTTAAAAGATTAATTATTTTTATAGTTTGATCAAATTTTAATTTTATTCCTATAGTTTTAAATCATTAGTTCTGGTCTTTTTTACTCTCTATGGTCTTGATTTTACTCTTTATACTTAAGCTTAGAGTAAGTCCTTATAAAATTATAAGGATTAAAATTCACTATTTCAAACTATAGAAATCAAAATTAAAATTGGAATAAACTATAAAAACAAACAATTTTTTTACCAACCTATAAAACAAACAACGATATTTACATTTGCATAAAATACTTATCTCATGACCGGGCCAGAACCCAAAGGCCGCAGCAAAAACCACAAGAGGCGCATTACTCCTCCATGGACATCCCAAAATGGACTAATTTTATGAATGTGATTTGAAATTTATCCCTTCACGCATGAGATTAGTAAGTAAATTTATCCACGTTACGTGAATTGTTGTCAGCAGTTCTGTGTTAGCATAGTTAATGTTGTGTATATAAGATCTAGAAACTACAAACATGCACGGAATTACAATTAAACCTCATGAATTCATACATGTTTCTTGAGGGCTTAATTGGGTAAACAACCAACTACTGTTAAGTGACATTGGGAGAAATCTGAAAAAAAAAAATGAATTGAACATGATGATTTGATCAGAAAATAATGTGTTAGTCATGATAGATGATCTAGGCTCACTAATGTCAATTGAATTAATAGGTAACAAGGGTTGGAAAAGATATCAAGGGACAAGTGCTATGATAAGGCTTTAATTTGTGAATGGAAACTCGGAAAGTAATCTTTTTATACACCGGGAAAAAAAAAACAAAATAACAACATGGAAATTAATTTTTTTAAATATTGTTAGTGTGCTACTAATACCCTAAATGAGTAGTATAACACTACACAGGTTTAACAACCTTATGACGAAGAATGGAATGGAAGAACCTCGGTTGATATAACATAAAGGTTTGAAACGAAATTGTTGGTGTCTATAGTTTTGACGATTTCTTTTACTCCTCCGGTCCTAATTATAAGACCCAATTGACTTATTTGAGGAGATTAAGGAAGTAAGTTAAGTTGGTTGTTTATAATAAATAAGTGTTGTCATTCCTAAAATATCCTTGCTAATTAAGTATATTGGCTAAAACTATTATTATTAGAAGGATTATCTTGGAAAAAAATGCATAAATATAAGAGACAAAATGGATTGGGTCTTATAATTAGGACCAAATAAAAAGTCAAATTGGGTCTTATAATAAGGACCGGAGGAGTACATTGTTTTGCTAGTTATATATTGACCGAAGATTTGAGAGGAAAAGAGGAATCAGGACAGCAAGTGAAGTCTTAGTCGCAGTGAGTTTATTTTCAGACATATCCGTATAATCTAGCTGCTTGGCTCTTATAATCCAAATGTTTTATAAAATTTAGGTGATTTCTAACTTGTCAAAGTGTGAAATTGATTGATATGGTCTCTAATTTTAGAAGGGTTTTTTTAAATATCTTAGAAATTATTTCTTTAACTCTGACTAATATATATTTAAATGAGAAAATTACTAGAAGATTTTAAAAAAGAGAAATAATTATTAAAAATTTTCAATAACAAGCGAATAATTGAAATTTATTGTTATTTATTGCTCTACAATTTGTCATTATAAGTTATTTAGTTATTAAGAGACCTTTTATAAATATATTATTTTCATGAGACTTTATTATAATTCTCCTTATTTAAATATATGAATGGATATTTCACTAATGTATTTTGTTTAGGCCTATGGATGAAACATATTCGAACATTCTATGCTATATATCACTATATTTAATTCATGTGTCATTTGTATAAAAGGTATTCAAGCATGTAATGTTATATTTAACTATAATGCTTCAAAATTATTTTTAGTTTGATGTGTCGCAATCATAATCAATTATGGGTGATGATATTCAACTATTGTCTTTTCCAAATACACTCTAAATTTGCTTTTGTTCAGAACATGGTCAAATATGCAATTGTTATTCTCAAATATGCTTACTTTATGAAGTGACATGATTAAATACGAGAATTGGTGCATTTAAATTTTGTCTAGAAAACTTCTATTCGATTATCATTTGCTATATTCACCTACTCTATCCTTATTTTCCAGAACTTTTTCTTTCGTGTGAACTTTAGTCAATTATATGCTCTTTGTACATGAGTTTGTTTGTTTTAGACTGTTCTTGGGTTCATGGTCTTTTACTTCTGTCCAAATCATAATCAATTGTGTGATAGTTGTATTCACACAGTATCATTTTGCCGAGGTCACTGCGATTTGTCCCCCCTACACAGGCTAGTGCGTCTTACCCATAGGCAAATCCAGTCAAGTACTTGCCATGAAGCCTATGCAACATTGGTCATCTTGCGGAAGTTCTTAGGATATTTAACGCTATTTTTCAGAAACCGGATTTCCCAGATGGTTCTATTAATTATACACAGACGCGCGCGCACATCTTTTTAAATAGAGGTCGATATGGATTCTTTTTTTTTTAATTATTCCAAGACTATTTACGTAGACACACACATCTTTTTAAATGGCGGTAAATATGAATATTTTTTCAATTCTAAGACTACTTTACTAAGGCGACCAGCTTTTTTCATTTCAGTGAGATGGTTAAAAATAACTTATATTTAAGATTAAAAGAGATTTTTTTTTTACAAATTAAAAAGTACAAATACCCAAAATATGAGCATGAGTAAATACGGTCCTAAGTCTAGATATTTCAATGGACTAAAATGAATAATCACCCTCATAAATTCATCACAGCAGGCCAAAATTTTACCCAGGGAAAAAATCTATGGGATAATACATAGTGAAATCAATACGTTATCACCGTAACATCTTTTATGTGCAATATGCATTTTAAAGCTTTTCAAATCCATGACAGAATCTGACATATACATCCATCACCAAATACTGCCTCATTTTAATCTGAAAGAACCAGCTCCAGGAAAAAAGTTCAACTGACGTCGCTACTTCGACAGCTTTCTCTGGAAAATGTATTCTACTTCACTGCGAAGGCTTTCCACATCTATCGCATAATCTCTCTGGAATTCATCCGCCATCACATTAAGCAGCAACTGCCTCATTTTATTTAATGCATCACCTAAAGCACAGAAGTCTTTCAAAACCAGAGCTTCAGTGGTCCTGAGTTGCAGGAGACTCTTAATTGCAACAAGGGCCTGCTTATTGCATTCGGCAAGCAATGCCAGAAGTTAAGCCAAATACACGACATGGAAAAACAGCAAAAGGGTCAAACACTCAAACTACCGTAGGCAAGACACATAAAAAGGAAGACACAACCTTCCAAGTGTCCTTGTGTGTGAATTTACCGAACGTGCCCGCTAATAAACATATTTCAACATACGCTTACCAAATGGAAACGATGCAGCTCAAAATGCTCATCATTAGGCGGTGAAAGGTGTGCCAGTGACATTGCATTAAAAAAACATGGCATCACAACAGCAAACTGATATTTTGAGTTTTGAGAACTTGTCAATAATATCAGACGCCATGTGACTGCTCTGCTAAAAAGGGGGGAAAAAGATGCCATGTAAACAATGCACCTTGTCCTGGAGATCCAAATCGGTTGATGCAGCAATGAGATCAACCACAGATTTCAGAAGATCTCGATCACTTAAGAAAGGTAGTTCAGTTTTATGCGCATTTTCTATCTGACGCTGCGCTAGATCAGCCAAGAGAATCAAAGCCTTCTCCTGTAGTCTGATATCAATACTTGAATTCCTCAAAATATTCTGAAAGAAGTGTCAATTTCAATAACAATTTAAAAGATTGTAATAGCAAAACTGACGTGCGGAAATAAGTTTACCCAAAAAAATCACAGAAATAATAATGATACAGAGAAAGCAAATTATACTAGTGAAAATAATAGTGGTAATAACAATAAAAATAACCTTAGGCAGGTCACCTGAAGCATCAAATCTCCATTTTCAGCAGAGAACAATTCCTGACCCGCTAAATTATTTCGGATCAAAGCTGAAACAGCATATAATGCTTTATTAGCTTCCTCTATAAAATTAGATTTTACCATCTTCATCAGCATTGAAAGCACCCCAAGTTCCAAAACCTGGAAGAGTCGGAATTTGGACAAATCATAATATTGTCGAGCTTGTCTCAGTTGATTGATTATGACACCAATCCATTTAAAAAAGTCTACCCTCAGCCTTAAATATAAGCCACCATTAGTTACCTTACAGATATTAAGAAAAATGGTCAAAAACATATAGACTTCTTAAATTTGACATATGTTAAAAATTATTTTCCAAAAATTCCACCCAATTAAATGATCGTCAATTAATAGTTCTCTAATTTCTCTCTAATTGCATTTTGACTGGTAGGAATGAAAAAAATCAATACTCCAAATATTTTTGTTTGTGACTTATAATTTGAACCATGAGAATACCTTCCCAAGTGACCTAGATTCAAGACCAGGAATAAATTGCTTTTCAAACAAACAACATACCTGCTGCTGAACGACAAGATTGTTTTGACTAACTTTCCCAAGGATCCATGCAGCAATAGTCCTAATATTTGGATCAGGGTGATAAAGCTCTTGTGTCACACAAACAAGTCCCCCTAGTTTGCCAAAATCTGATATGATAACCATAATCACGATTACTATACAACAGATTACGGAAACTGAAACAGATGTAGATCCTTAACTAATAATTTTTAGTATTTTATAGAAACATCTGTGCTGCAATATTATAAGAAAAAGAAAATGGTTGGCAAGTGACATTACACACAAAGAGAGAGCACAAACCACTATCTGTTATGACATATGAAATAATCCAAGGGAAGCCACTGATGCTTGAACTAAGATGTTGTGATTGGATCCCCCAGCTAAGATACAATAAAACAACAAAAGAGTACAATATGGGACTGACATTGGCATTAGAATACAGGAATTTTCCAAAACAAGTGTTAAACACTCTCAAATCACAGAAACACAGCGGATCACAACATGCAAGCTTCACACAGATCACAATAGAAAGTACAAGAGGGATCACTGCAATTCCAGACACAAGCACAAAAGCAAGAAAAAATGAATCAGTAACAGCCATTTGTGAAGCCAGCTTTCTCCCTGACTTTCCTCCCAAATTTTCTCTGCCAACCCCTCTAAACACTTTTCCATCTGCCTCCCTTGCTTACATCTTATTCACAATGAAACTCCCCTTTTGCCCATCTGCTCCTCTGGTTCTTCAGATGTCTACCACCATACCTTCTGCTGGACCAAGACTTCCAGCTTCACCAACCCTTTACTCTCCATTTTATCTCCTGCTGTAAGAGTTGGCAGCAGTAGTAGTCGGGTAAACCCATAATATGGAGGACTAAGAAAAGTTTTCTATGCCTTTTAACCTCACATTCTAAAATGTCCAAAGTCCACCAGACAATATAAATTAATAAAAGATACTTGTGGCTTGGCATTCTATCACTTGCATTTCAATTTAAATATTTTTGAATTTATATATGCATTTAAAATTGTGAAAAAATAAAGAAAATGATAAAAATTTCAAGAAGTCAAAATACTATATAATTAACTTATGAGTAATGGAGAGAAAACAAAGGAGTTTTGAAAACTGAAGTAATTTTTTTAGGCAACCAGACATCAAATTTCAGCTTCTGCATGTTTACTAAATAAATAATTTTTTATAATAGTAATTAAAATTAAAATAACATAATATAACTTATTTTTCAAAAATATTATATCCATATTGTCTCATTAACTACCTCAACTCCCTTTCCCTCATAGGAGATTAGAATATTCATGGTATGACTTTCTTTCCTCCTTTGTTTCTGAAACACATTAAGCGGGCAATTGCATGGACAAACATTCAGGTAAATCCAATACAAATGGATTTCAAGCACCCAAGAAACAGAATTAGTCTTCTGCATTACAGAGCACCCAACGTAGCAAAAAGTGACTTTGCAAATGCATGCACGGACTTGTCTAGAATACAATTACAACAAATTTAAAGTATTGCTATATGATAGGTTAGTAATCAATTTGATCAAAATAAATACAAAACAATATAGGGAGTGAACAGAGGAAGAAGGGTGAACTCTTTCATGTGCATAATAATAATAGACAGTCAAATTAGAAAAGAAATATGTGCTACATGCAGACGAAGTATTCAGTTAACCCACAGCCACAAAAATGCTTGCTGCTGGACACTCAACAAGTATAAAAAGGCAGGCGCATCAGATCAGAACAGGGTTTATATGAATTTATATGAACCTACCATTTGCATTATCTATTGGCTCAACAAGTACATTAAGTTCCTGTAGAGCCCGGAGCCGCTCTTCCGAAGTTAGAGATGAATTATTCAAATCACCTATTGCAATTTTCATCAATTCAGCATCTGATGGAACTTTTATTTCCTCCATCAATTCCTGTTGGAGCACTTGTCATCATCAAAATTCCCAACGAGCAGGTGTATGCAAATGCATATGACATACCCAGAGAAAACACAAGAGATACACATGCAGCCAAACTGTAACATAACACTTCAAATGAGCTGTTTTCACTGCAAGTCACAGGTAAGTGCAGAATGGGTCCACCTATTCTAATTTTTTTCCCACCAATATCCTGACTAAACAAGAAGCGAGCAATTTTGTTATTGTCAGCAACTACTTCTCGAAAGTTTGATGACACTGCATTGCTCAATAAAATACAACTTATCAATTTCCACAGGGAGCAAACGCCATATCATAAAACAATATCCATACGCACCATGAACACCAACCAAACAGGAATACAGCACATACTAAAATATACGTTTGATGATTGATGGAAAAGTTTAGTACTATTTACTTATTTACATAAGGAATGTGGTTGATTCTCCTCTACAATGGTAATCTAGCCAGGAAAATGACTGTAACCCAGATAGCAGCAGCTGAAACAATAAAAGAACAATGTAGAAGTAAGAAAATGGCTTCCTGCATCGGAAAGGAAGAATTCTGAGTCCCAACATCTTTCCTCCCTTTCTTCTTATCTATGCAACCTGAGTCCCCTCCAATGAACTGGTAGTCATCTCATGCTAGTTGTTTCCTCTCTCCTTCAGCTTATCAGCTCAGCATTCATCATGAGAGAGCTGGTTATCCCTGAGCACCTGCCCTCAACGGGCCACTCTATTTTTATTGTTTTATTTGTTCTTTCTTTTATAAAGTCTGAGGCCCATTAAGATTGGATCGATCACTAATCCAATTGAAGAGGGACGTGAAGCACAAAACATCATTTAAATCATATAATTTCGACGATGATCAACAAAACTTAAATTCAGCTAAAACACAAATTGCAAAAGAAGCCAAATATCTTTCCTACAAAAAATGCAGATGATTTCTACCTCTAGTTCCATCTGACGCTTCTTGAGCTCACTTTCTGATAATTGCTGCCGTACATCAGCTGTTTCTTTTAATTTTGCAGGATCAGAATGACCTAATACAAAATGGTAATATTATTATAAAATTACAATTTTACATCAACTGCAAGTTCGTATATTATTTATTAGATGAAAAAGCCGCATGGCATTAGAACTTGAGAGAGATAATCAATTGATTATCTTGCAGCCAATCAAAAGATTTTAAAGAAAAGATAGCAAACAACATTGTACACCCAATACAGTTACAAATTCTAAATTAGAGACTAACAAACTGATCGATAATAAAAATGACTATACTTATAGCCCACTGTAACATCCCGTCCAGTGAAGAAAACCCGCCGTCAAGGTCACCGTTGTATTGCTCATCGTTACGCAGCAGATTCTCTTCCTCCTTTACAGTAGAGCAAAGTGGCCCTCCAGAAGAAAGATTACCATCTGCGCCATCAGCCGTTGCGTTCGGCAACCCCAGTACAAACGGAAGCAGCAAAATCAACCCTAGAATCCGGATTCCCATTAAAAGGATAAGTAATCCAGCCAAGGCTAGCTGGGGGACAACCGATACGTAAGGGGTGAAGTTCCTTCCTGCTTCAAAACTCCAATCAAATGACCAGGTCGCGGCGCTTGCTTTGTGGTGCTTTACTTAGGAAGAGTCGACTTGGGCTTGGCTCCGACTAAAATTTTGGTACCAAAAAGATTAAAGGTTAATACTTTTCCTTTCAATTCTTACTATAAAATCCAATTTAATTTTTATTTTAATTATAAATATAATATTTCAATTTATTTTATTTTTTATATTTATAAATTTTTTTTCAATATAGTCATTTTAATAATTATAATTTTAGTCAATATATTTGATTAATAAGGATATTTTAAAAAAGACAATACTTATTTATTATAAATAATTAACTTAACTTATTTTCTTAATTTTTTTAAATTAGTCAACTAGTTTTTATAATTAGGATCAGATGTAGCATAATTTTGGAAAAATCAATTATCACTTTAATTTTTTTACATTCAATAATTTAAATTTTCATTATATACTATTTTTTGTATGAGAACTCTGTTTATATAGTTTATAAACAAACTTCTATAACTAAAGATAGGAGGCTGTACAATTTATTTTTAATCCTCGCAAAAATTGCACCCATGTCATCTGGCTCAGCTCATCGTCTTCCCCTTCCTCTTCCAGGGGAGCATCCAACTCACCATCTTCTTCTTCCTCCTCGCCTTTCCAGAGACCCAGGATACCCACCTCCCAGCATTGCGGTTTCCGTTGCACAGATTACCGGGTGCTCCCATGCAAAGGTGATCAACCTTTAGTTTTTCTTGCAGGAAATTATGAAAATCGTAAAAAAAAGACTGTTAAAGTTGAAAATTTGCATTTTTTGTTATTAAAACTGGTACGATTGCTGTCAAATTTTTTTATTTCAACAGTTTTTTTTAGCAATTTTTCCAATTACGGATTCTGGATTGGATCACTTCAAATTTATGTAGTCTACATTGGAAGAAAAATGGCGAAGACCTAGACAAAATTGTGAAGCAGCACCATCGAACTTGCCTTGCTAAGCGTTTTCTCCTCCTTCAGATAAAGAAAAATGATATCATAACTCATAAGCACAAATATACACAATCCAGCAAAACGACATTGCTTGACCAATGATTATTAAAACGGTGCGCATAAATGATGAGCTCTTGGTACTTGTCATTATGGTTAGCATGGAAATTGAGTCCGTAAATTATCCAAATCCTTTCAAAAATACGAAGATCAATGTTTTAGACAGAATAAATTTTAGCTGAAAAAATAACGGTTTTAAACTTTAGGTATCCAAATTAAAATAAATGCAAAGTATAATGATAATGATGTAACTCCGGCCAAAGAAAAATGACCAATGATATACTCCTCCGGTCCTTATTATAAGACTCAATTTGACTTTTTATTTGGTCCTAATTATAAGACCCAATCCATTTTCTCTCTTATATTTATGCATTTTTTTCCAAGATAATCCTTCTAATAATGATAGTTTTAGCCAATATACTTAATTAGCAAGGATATTTTAGGAATAACAACACTTATTTATTATAAATAACCAACTTAATTTACTTCCTTAATCTCCTCAAATAAGTCAATTGGGTCTTATAATTAGGACCGGAGGAGTAATAAAAAAGTTATATAAATCTGATTGAAATTAAAATCAAATCAAACCATGGGCAGATTAGTTTCGCCGATGGATAACTATGGACTTGTTCGGGAGTTCCGCTGAGAACGGAATTTTAAGCAATTTTACATAAGTGGAGCTTGTATACTTATATTTTGTAAATCATATTTAAAAAACTATTTATGAGTCAATCCCCGCAAACCCCTCATGTAGTCCGCGTTTCCGGCAGAAAAAACTTGGCTGCGCATTGTACTAAACCTTAGTTCGGATCAACGATCCATTTCCTTCCCAGAAGTATTCAAGGACCAGTTTGTGCTTTTCTACAAGAACAGTTATGGCAACATGTCCACATGCGCTTAGTGGCGGCTTAGGTAATCCATGGGCTGAAGCTGGGCTGGACCAAAAGATCAAAACGGCAATCGCGACCGAAACTATCTGGGACACAACGACAGCGAAAAACCGGTGTCTATTTCCCTCAGGTTTCCGCGCATTTTGATTAGTGATTACTCATTAGTTCTTTGTCGGCCTTAAATTTTACTAGTCTGCTTGATTCGTCCAACCTATCGGCTTGTTGCTACTTCCTTCTATTCAGGTTGACATTAAATTCTTATGGATTGATATTTCTTGTGGTTCTTATTTTCTTTTGCCTACTGCTTTCTTAAATTGCTTGAACCGGTTTAGTTTTCAGGCCAAATCAACTTAGTTTGACTGATGACTTATAATTCATAGTTCATGATACATTTTAGAAGCCTAAATTTATTTAGTGTTAATAGGCAGATCGTATTAGTCATTTGGTTTTAGTAATTTCTTAGTCGGGTTTTTGAAACATCTGTTGACTGCCTTTGAAGCTATAGTAAGGCTCGGCCGAATAATGGGATAATCTTCATCAACATCGTCGAATACGGTCCTTTCCTTTCTTTTTCCCTCCTTTCTTTCTTTTCTTTTTTTTTTTCCTCTTTTAATATCTCAAGCAAATGCGCCAGGCCTTGTTGCTTTAAATTCCTTGACTAACGTTCTTAGAGACAAGCCTTGTATGATCCCCGGGGGGAACGGGGAGAGAGCGTGATATACTCGCTGAGGGAAGTTGATGACGAGGATGATGGGTTTATTGGCGACTGCATGGAATCCTTTGAGAAGGAAGCTTCAACTAAAAACGAGGGTTCTTCATACGGTAAAAGGACAAAGGAGCCAAATTTTAATGTCTCCACCTCTTGTTTCTCTGGACCTACCTGACATTTGGACTCCAAATTCATCTCGTTTTAGTGTTTCATCAGTACACAAGAGCTGTAAGTATCTCCTCTTCCCTTTCACCAAGGCTTTCCTCATTTTGACGATGCTTTTATTGTTTTAGTGAGATTCCTTTGATTAATATTTTATCTCCTACGATAAGGTTAATTGGTCCTTTTCATCTTTTACTTGATTGAGCAAAAGCTGGTATTTTGCAGTTGTTTGTAGTAGGCTACACCAGTGTATCATCTGTCAACCGTGGAAAGATGATATATGAGGTAGCCACCAACTCTGATACTAATTGATAGGCATCCAAGTGAGGTGGGGAATTCCCTCCCAAAAGTTAGATATGGATGAGGGAGAAATAACCTACTTAAGTACTCCATGCAGCAAATCATGCTATTCAATGTGGGACTTGGAATACTGTACTGTTTTAGCTTCCATCGGAGATATTAGTCAGACTTAGAGTGTAGGCATTGTGAAACTACATGCTACTCAGGAGCAGAGAGAAAGTTGTCTTTGGAGATTGAAGTTTACTTTGTTCATACTTTGTTGGATGGGTCCATAGAATTATTAGTGGATTTGCAAACAGTTATGCTGGTATCCTTAAGCAGGTTCAGAATATATCTTGTTTGGGATCTAGAAATTCTTTGGCCGGACTTAACTACTTCAATCCCCAAGAAATACTTTAAAGTACACAAGTATTTAATCTCAAATTCCTTGTTCAAGACTTTTAGATTGATGACCTCTTCATTATTTCTTATCACTATTTTATCGTCCGCGTGGATGTTTAGAACAGTAGTCTCACCATCAGTAGCTATAATGAAAAGAGGTGTGGTTGGTTTGGCCTTGTGTGAGCCTAGGCTTTTTAATAGCCTCAGTTAATCTTTCAAATCAAGCTTTGTTTCTAACCCAGATCAATGTGGCAGCAACAAAAATGAAGCCCTCAAACAATTTTTCTCACCATGCACACTTATCATTAAGATGCTTCAAGAAGTGGAGAAACGTGAGAGCTTAATTGTTAGAATCCAACACAAAGTCTTAAGGAGGATGCTCAAAGAACCTCACAATAGTATAGCACCTCCCATCACAAGTGGAACAATGTTGTTTAGCTTCCTTAAGCTGCTCACTAGAGAAAGGTATAGAGTGACCCTTGTAACTCGAGGCCTCCAGTTTTGCCCTGTTATGATGGGGATTGCTTTAAATTGGGATGAAGTCGAGTGATAGCAGAATGTTTAGACTGCAATATTGCGCAGATTTGATTAACAAGCACTCTTCCTAAAAGTTTGGTCTTGGAATTGGAATTGAGCTGCACTCTGGTAATAATTTAGCAGTTTAGACTTGAGAGTATGAAATTGAAAAAGCAACAAGCACAGATCCCTTGGAAATTTGTACTTTCTGTAAACTTCTCAGAGGAGTCTGATAAATAATACTCAATATTTTAACAGGGTGTGCTGAAGCCAAAAAAAAAAAAGAAAGGGGAGAAAACCCAACTCGTCTCTCTAGATTGTGGATATGCTATTCCAGTAGAAAATTGTAATTCTGGTTTTCATTTCTGATAAAAGTGGTTCCAAATGTGCTTCTTCCATGTCTGTTTCTTAAATTGATGTTGGTCACAGTTAATGAGCAGACTGCTAGGGTGTTGGATGGAAAAATGATTTCTATGGAAATCAGATCAAGCGTAGCTGGTGAGGTAAGCCGGATGAAGAAGTGCATTGGGAAAGTTCCTGGGTTAGCTGTGATTATGGTCGGCCAGAGATGGGATTCTCAGATTTATGTTCGCAACAAGATAAAGGCATGTCATGAAGTTGGAATCAAGTCCTTTGTGACTGATCTACCGACTGATTGTACAGAAGCTGAAGTTCATAATGCTTTGTTGAGATTTAACAAAGATCCATCAATTCATGGTATTCTTGTGCAACTTCCCCTACCCCAGGTGATTTTCTGAATCTGTGACTTAATTGGATAATACATAGACTTTACTATGTGCTTATTTATAATTCAAGTAAAGGGGGATACCACAATGAATTGATGAGCGATAAATATAAATTTGAAGGGTAGATAGGGATAGGCATAATGTCTGGATCTGATACATCTGATGGGTAGCGGGGGATGTATCCTTGAGATTAGACAATATTGAGTTGCTGTTTTAAAATTATCTTAATGATTGTCTGGGACTTTTTTTGTTGTGATTTTATACGTATGAATTTTATGAAATGAGTACTCGGCAAAAACTTGCTCATTTTAAAATGTCTTTGGGTTTGGGATTTATTCAGTAGTGAAGGGCTGAGGCATGACTTGTTAGGTTTTAGGTCTGGGGACGAGGAAAGTATTTTTCAAAAGTTTTGGGTTTGAATATAATACCCTAATTCATACAATATATACCCTACCCTTTATCATCCCTTCAAGCAGTTGTTGAAAGAAAGGGAATAATGCTTACCCTTGTGTAACGGTTACAAATGGATCAAAAGGCGCACAAATGATGTTTTCGTTGGTTTAGTTACTTTTCTTGGTATGTGATCCCCCCCCCCTTCCTGGCCTTGGTAGTATCTATTTCTTTTTCGCCTTGGTGTGTGATTTACATGTGCATTGAATCTCTGGAGTCTGGTCAACGCCCACTTGTAATTGCTACCATAGATCGAGGTTACTTTAATCTGTTAACGAGCCTATAATAGATGGTCATATCAGTGATTCAACTTCGACTTCTGGAAAATAAGTACTCAATAATGAAATATTAATGCCCCATTTGGTACCATTGAACTAGGACTTGGGAAACACAGGTTGAAGCAAAAACCAGCATTGGTTCTGCACGGAAGTGAGTTCCATCAAAAAGCATGGAACTCAAATCCTTCTTAGCCGCTACATGACTGGTCTAACTTCCATGGAAGCCACTGCATATGACTGTTTTACCCTCAACCATTCAGCATCCAGCATTCATCCTTTGCGTCAGTTGTAGTGACAGTGATGATGGTTCACATAATATTCAACATCTAGCATCGGTTGCAGTTCTTCCCAAGCAATAGCATTTGACTTGCTCTTCTGATTTTTGATACTCTTTTCCTTGGTCTGAAAACCGTTTCTTTGTTTCAAGCAGGGATGTTGGAACCCATTCGCTTTCTGTTCTGCTTTTTGGTTTTGGGCCCAATGGTTCGAGTTAGACACTGATTTTTGGGTTCACTTGGTTGAGTCTCTCTCTGATTTCATTTTGGTCTTTGATTCTGCAATATCTGGTCAGTGACTTTTGTTTTTGTGAGTTTTGATTCTTCACACGATTTCTAGGGGTTGTGGTGGTCCCCTCTGATTTCTGAATAATGATCCTTTGATTTATAAATGGTCTTTGAACCCCCAGGGGGGGAAAAAAATTCTAAATGGTTCAACTATTGTGGTTTCTGTGAATGCCAAGCGATTGTTCTGGAATCGACAAGATTATTGGTTTGAAGATTCAACAGCAACTAACAGATGGTGCCCCTCCTCTACTTTTTCAACAGATTGGGGTTCAACACATGATTTAACCAAAAAAAAAAAAAACAAAATTGTTTCTGGGTTTGAGTTTGATTGTAATTTCCTGTTTGGTGATGGTGGACGGTGGTTTTGATGTGTGGGGTAGGGCTGTTATTTTTTTCCTCTTGGATAAGGGCATATTAGTCTTTGCATATTATAAAATGCAAATTTTAAATAAAAGTAATGCTTAGTTTCCATATATATATCAAATATATTTTTAAACGTCATTTTCATTCCGTTTCCACTTCCATCAAAACCTTGTCCAAGATATCAAGCTGGACATGAGAATGCAAGGTTCATATTGTGAAGGATATGAAACCATAACAACGAGCTAATAAGTAGGCCTTTTTTCTTACCTAAAAATGTTTTGATAAAAAATTCTGAGGATGGTTTGTTTTGATTCAGTGAGAAGTGTAATAGTCATATCAACTTAGGAAAAAGAAATCCTATCATGCTTCTATTTTTAATAGAGGAGCTAATTAAAGAGTTGATGTTGGTTTTATATGTAAAACTTATTTTACATATTTATCATTTTTTTGGGTCAAAATTAACCCTATTGGTATTCCCTTAAAGAGGGAGGGAGTGAGGGAATTTAGGAAGATGTCATGTTGATTAATTTAACTAACATTTTTAATCTATTTAAATTAGTTAATTAGGTCTTATATTGAGGACCGAAAGAGTAGTATTTAACTGATGGAATGATGGTGATCATTAATTCTCAATATTTAGCTGTAGTTTATGTTTTGTGATTGACTTGTAAAAATTTGGATCAGCATCTAGATGAAGGCAAAGTTTTGGATGTTCTATGTCTAGAAAAGGACGTGGATGGCTTTCATCCTCTTAATATGGGGAATCTCGCCATAATTGGAAGGGAACCACTATTTATTCCCTGTACTCCGAAGGGCTGCGTTGAGTTACTAATTAGGTCTGGAGTGGAGATCATGGGGAAGAAAGCTGTTGTGATTGGAAGAAGTAATATTGTCGGTTTACCTACATCCTTGTTATTGCAGGTAAATATGAAACAAGGAGAGGTAGATGAAGTAATGATTTTTCCGATTATGTTTTTCTGTGTATTTAGTAGGTATAATACAATTTTTATTTGGCAGAGACACCATGCAACGGTCACTGTTATACATGCATTTACAGAAAATCCTGAACAGATCACTTCAGAAGCTGATATTGTAGTTTCTGCTGCTGGAGTACCTAATATGGTCCGCGGCAACTGGATAAAGCCTGGTGCAATAGTCATTGACGTTGGAACAAGTCCAGTTGAGGTGAGTTATCACTTGAAATGGCTGTTCATTTTTTAACAAGTGCATATATTTGGTCCCTAGCGAGTCATTTGGTTGGGAAGGTTTGTTCAGCAGTTCCTTCGCTACTTGGCCTGAGTACAATGAAAAGGGTCCAAAAATATAGTTCTCATGAACTTTTATTGCTGGAGTTATTCTTTCATACAAATTTGTTCCTTAAAGTTTGAGCAGTTTATACGTAGACATTGAGTTAGTCTTTCATAATAGAATAAATACATAGTTTGACTTGACTGTAGACAATTTCTAATTTTGAGGGACTAACAGGAGTAGAGAAACAAAGGCAAGGCTAAAAGGATAGATATTAAACCGCCCTCCCCCCCTTCTTCTAAAAAGATACATCTTTCAAGGGTCATTCAATACATCAACATGAAATAAAAGCTATAAGCAGCTATAATATTCTTAAATCATAAGCTGTGCTTTTCATCCCCAGCTTTGCAACGTTTACTCTCAGTATTTCCTTACAGTCCATCAGCACCAATTTTCTTATTCCTTCAATATTCCGTCATATACTTTAATAGGGTTTAAATATTAGAAAGATGGTCATAATATTTGGAAAATTTAGTGGTTATAATATTTCCTGTGCATTTGTGTATATGTTTAAAACACTGGCAGGACTCAAGCTGCGAGGATGGTTACCGTCTTATAGGGGATGTATGCTATGAAGAAGCGGTAAATGTGGCATCTGTTATTACTCCTGTTCCGGGTGGAGTTGGGCCTGTGACCGTTGCCATGCTACTGTCTAACACTCTAGATTCTGCAAAACGCCTGCTTGATTTTACTTAGCCGCTGGCGTAGGCTTAGTTGCTTACAATTCTAGTTCTGTTTAACCCCCAAAATGAAATATGAAATTATTGTGCTGTAGCTTGATTAGTTCTTGAGCCATAACAAATTGCATGCAATACCAGAGTCAACAATTAATCATGACTCACTCTTGTTGCACTAATTTATGTCTTTATGTCGTTCCTATGTAATTACTACAAATCTATCAATATCATAGGAAAAAAATATCAATATATCAATATATAAAATTTAGAGTAAATACAATTTTAGAGGCTTAATATAAATTTTAAAGTAAAATACACCAACAACTTTTTATTTTATCTGAATTACAGAAATATCTCCTCTTATTTTAAAAATATATATAAACCTTCTTTGAAATTAAAATGTATGTTACACAAATTTTTTTCTTATATTTAAGATTCTATTTTCATCCATCTAAATCATTAGTTGATCATTAAATTTAATTTTAAATTATTTCTTGACTAAAATGTTTTTTAACATAATAATTAGGGAGAATGATAGGAAAAAAAGTTGAAAATTATAGATCTCAAATTAAGTTTGATAACACAATTTTATTTGATATTGACAAGTCTGAATTTGCAAGTAATAATAAATTTTTATTGACATTTTTTATTTAGTGTTTACAAAATTTCAAGCTTTTTATTTTGTCATTGTCCCTAATAATTATTTAGACATTATATTTTTCAGGAAGTGTTTTATAAAAGCAAAAACTAACTCTAATACATATATTTTCTAAATTTTTAATATGTTATAAAATTTATTAATTTTGATTTAAATCATAAAATTTTTTAATCATATTCATTAGAAATTATTTACTTTGATTTTTTTAAATTGTAAACATATGTTTCAAATACATCATTTTTATTTATCATAAAGTTTAAATAGTATAAATGTAAAAGATTTTATAAATTATCTAAATTTATCATTCAAAATTGTTAAACATATCTTTGATACAAAAATTTATAAACATATTTAATTAAGTATACATATATATCGAAAAAATTAGTTAAATTTTTAATCAAGTCTTTTGTGTTTGTCTTAATTGAATGAAATCCATGTAACTATAAAAATATAATTTAGGAATTTATTAAAATAAGAGGTAAAATAGTAAATAAAATTTGTTTTAATATAAATTTCATGTTAAAATATGTATTTATAATATGAAAATACCAAAATGCTCTTCAACCCCCCAAAAAAAAAAATCCATTCCACTTCTCCTACCAACAGATTGCCAACCACGGCCTCACCACCACCGTCGCCAGAAGAAAAGAAAAAAAAGGGGAGACGAGAAGATAATTCACCAATTAAAAACTCATAATCGATACATTGTAAACAATCGAAGAGGGAGAAGGTCGTAGATCGAAGAGAGAGAAGGAGAAGATGAAGAAGCTGAGTCGCAACACCCTCAGCAAAGTCGATATCAAAGATCAAGATGGAGTATGTTAGAGAACCATCCGAGATCAAGCTCCATGGAGACATTTGTTGGTTGAAGAAGAAGATGGGATGGGGGTGACAGAGGTGGGTGGGGGAGGGGGATGAATGATAAGGAAGATGGAAGGATATAGGGGAAAATATGACCATGAAAATGGAACTGAAACTCAGTTTTATGGGACAGCCAATAGAACTGAGTTCCATCGTTTTTTATAAACTGTAGTTCCATGACACCTGATTTAGCCTACCAAACGTTTCAAAATATTGATTCCAATTTCAATTCTAATTATCTGCCTCCAGTTCCAGCACACCAAATGGGGCATAAAGGATTCACATTGTAAAATCATGCTATATGCATAATAATCATCTTCATTATGTAATTGAAACTAATTCGGTTTATTCTCCAAGGTTTAGAGGCCATATCTACTCGCTTTATTAATTTGTATATTTTTCCATTAATTTTATAGTGGTATTTTTTGTTACAATTTTATAACAGTATAATTAACTTACAATATCTTACAACTTCTTTTTCGATTTACAGAAACTTAACAACTCCTTCAAGTAATGCTTGATTTCGAAGTAAAATACTACCACAGTACTTGATATAAAAGTTAGTTGATTAATTTAAACAGACTAAGAAAGTTTGTTAAGTTAGTTATTTATAATAAATAAGTGTTGTTTTTCATAAAATATTCTTACTAATCATATGTATTAGCTAGAACTACTATTTGATGAAATCTTTAACATATGAAACTACTTCAAAGATTACTTTAAAAAATAGATAAATATGAGAGAGAAAGTGAATTAAGATATTATATTTATGACTAAATTAAAAGTCAAATTAGCTCTCATATTAAGGACTAAAATATATTGATTTTTACTGGGAGGAAATTGTGCAGATTTCATGCGTTGACTAATTTGCATCTTTAACAAAATCAGCTGGCATTGGCGAGGAACATCAAACAAGAAAAGCTACGGCTAAATTGCACTTGTTTAGCGCTATTTAAATCTATGCATTGTTGAGTTTGGTTTCACGATCGTTTAACTTCCTAATTATTGTGAGACCAATAAACCAATAATTGGAGTGCTAATTAAATTACAAAATTGTGAGCTCAAAGAATTGAAAGGGAATACTTGATGCTCTAGATCTAACATGTTACACGTCAGCCAAACAAGGGGGGGGAAAAATAGAGATAAAAGATAAGTGATGACGCAAATATACCGTTAGTTGTAATTGGTTAAATCTTAAAGACGTTTACAACTTATCAAAATTAGAGAGAAGGGTAAGATCAATTAGTAAATGATCATATATTAAGAACCAACACGTAAGCCTATATAAATAAGATTGGAAGGAGTATAATATAATAACTTCCTTTTCTTTTCTTTTTTTTGGGTAAAACACAATCATAGAATTTGTATAGAAGTGATTGGTTAAATTAAAGGTGTATTATTCAAAGGGACTTGTCTTTAGTATACAATGGCATTTATAAAACTCTGTAAAGGGCCTTAATTATAATGAAAGGCTTCAAATTTTGGAAAAAGACCAAGATTCTCGTATGGAGATGAAAGAAAACCAGGCGTGGACTGGGATGCTCTTGTATATTGGAGCTCTATCGCCGCCGCCGCCAGCTATCGACCGGTCACTAGGTAACTTTTGGGTGGCAAGGCAACTTTATCTTTTTGTAGATCATTAATCTTTTGGGGGAAAAAACTTCTTTGAATAATTTAGTTAATGAGCTTTTTAGTCATCAAGTTATGTAAGTTTCATGTACAAACTTTGCCATCTCAGCAGTTTTTTTTTTTTTTTGGGAATTTTCAACAGTATTAGCTTGTGTTTGGGATCACAGTGTAGGCCACCAAACTGACTTCTCCACTTGTAAAAGCTAAAAAAAGTAACTTTTTGCTTAAAACATATGTTTGAATTCACTGTGGAGGTAAATGGACTTAGAGTCCGTTTGGATTAGGGATTAAAAAAGTAGCTTATTGTCAATTTAACTTATGAAAAAGTGAAGTTGGGTAAAAGCTAAATTGAATAAGCTGAATTGTGTTTGGATTGGAGTTTAGAAAAGTTAATTTGCAAAAGTGAGATTAGTAAAAGTTTGTCTGGATTATAGTTAAGTAAAAAAAGTTTAGTTGTAAAATGACCAAAATAGGTATGAGTTTTAATAAATAATAAAACATGATTAAAAACAATAATTTTACATAATACAAAAAAATTAAAATAATTTAATATGAAGAAGTCAAATTTAATGAGTGAATTAAATTTTAAAACTTTACATAAATAAAAAATATTTTAAATATAAAGTGAAACATGAAAAAAAAAATTGAACTGAGATAATATAATGAAGAAGTGAAATTTAATGAGTGAATTAAAATTGAAAACTTTAGAGAAATCATATGAAATATTTTAAATATAAAGTGAAACATGATAAAAATAAATAAATTAACATAATACAATGAATTTAAATTAATTTAATATGAAGAAGTGAAATTTATTGAGTGAATTAAATTTAAAAACATCAGAGACATGAAAAAAAAATATTGCAAATATAAAGCGAAACATAATTTGAATGGATAAAAATATTTTGAACTCCAATTTGCAGTATTGCAACAAAGTGAAACGAAATAATATTACATAATTAATCAACTGATAAGCTATGGATAATTTGATCTCTGATTGCATCACGGACACAATTTATATGCGATGAAGACTGTGATGTAACATTTGAAGACGATGGTTGACTAGATTCAGCCTGATCATATTGCCAACTATATTACCATTTTCAACTTGTTCAAAAAAGGTGTCGGAGCTTGAATGTCTTCTTATAAGGTTATGAATGGAAATTGTTGCACTATATTACCATTTTCAACTGTATTACCATCTAAAAATTTTGTTATCATTAAATTATAAACTTGTTGATATCGCCAAGAATATTCTTCCTAACAGAGAGTCTTACAAAATTAATATTCAATAGCACGAATAACAATTGTTGAAATATGAATTCATAGGACATCACAAACTAACAAGAATTTTATTCCTCCAGTTATAACTTTTAGCTTCCCTATGGAAAACAAGTTGCTTATTTTCAATCGACCTAGAAATCAGTTTTATTTTTCAGCCTTCCACCAATGAGGATGGACGACGGCACATTCAGGCAAGCACAGGGGATCAAATCGAAAAAGTAGGACAACAAAATAAATCAGCCTAACTTGTAATAGATCCAACCACTTGAAGGCTGCTAGAGGTAGATCTAACAGTGTATTGCACTCAGAAGCTGAGATCTCGACGCATAAGTCACATGCACTAACAAACGGTGGCGAACTCGGTTGCAGATGGCGACACCAGCTTGCACAAGGCGAATGCAACTTGGACTTACGATAAAGGAGCAACAATCAGCATGCTACACACCCAACACTACATCTCACGCTAGTGATGTGATGCAGTTCACGTCGACCATGACAAAGCTTCTGGGAGGAGGCGACAAAGCAAGTGGGAATGGCAGAGGACTTGTGGGTAGTGTTTGGATAAAAATAAACAAGTGAAATCACAAGGGAATAATAATGCCATAAGGGAGAGAAAGAGGGAATAAAAATTTTCTAACACACGTAGAACAGTAATAAGCTCTTCAGAGTTGAAAATAAACTCCCTCCTCTGGCTTATTTTAAAAGCACGGTTAGACACCTTAAAATTCAATAAGCCTAATGCAAGTG